TGTTTTGTTCTTTTCCTTGGGATAAACTAAGAAGGATTTGCTCAATGTCTTCAAGTTGTTGACTGCGTTTCTTGATAAATTCATTCAATATTTCTGGAGTATTATCTCTTGGTTTATCATATCGATACAGCTCTTCAAGCATCGCAATCTGTTTCTGTAGAGCATAAAATACATCTTTCAAATAATTAAATTATTAGAGTTCTCAAAATACAACACTTTGTAAATACTAATGTGTTCTCACAATTCTATTTCAAATTGTAGAACTGATAATTCATCACTTGAAAAACAAGCAGCCTGTCGGCCGAGATAGCTCTGCTGTTAGCAATGCACATTTCAATTAAAAAACTGAAGTTATCATTAGAAAATGAACAATATGTATAGTATCAAAGCAATCAGACGAATTCATTAAAATTAGATAATTGAAGATATCATTACAAAATGAACAAATCTGAGAGAGGTCCACATGTAGTACCTATATATGTAATATCAAAGCAATTGGACTTGCGGTTTTTAACAAGAAGTCGAAAATATCACTCTTTACCAAAAATGACAAAAATATTCAACAAAATTAGAGAATTGAAGATATCATCATGAAATGAACAAATCTACCCAAGTATCAAAGCATTTATTTGGATCTATTTTTTGACATTAGAAATGGCCATGGATTTTAGATTTCATCAGAATTGAGATTCAAAAAAATGTTCTTTTACTGAAAACTTACCTCAGAATATAGATCTTTGAATGGATTTTTTGTGGAAAAAAAATCCAAATCAACATCAAGAAGAAAAGCTTTCCCACTTTCAAGAACCTGATTTAGAAGTGATTTTACGGAATCAAAAGATTCATCAATAATTCCTTTTGAATCAGTAGTTGTAGGTTTTCTAGCCGATGGAGCTAACTCAAGTTCATCATCATTTTTATCTGATTCTGATCTAGAAACTACAAATTCTTGAAAGATGGCTGGTGCTAATGTCACAACATACAGGGTAACACACTTGGCATTATACATTGGATTGGCGTCGTTTGTAACAAGGTCACTGATTGGTGCATACAGTGTATCACTTAGAAAATAGTCTTCTGTGCATGTGACTCTGTTGAAAAAAAAAAACATTTATTGATAATATAATGCAGCTATATGTGACTGAACTTGTGGTAGAATACAAAATGGCTGTTCATTGTAACCATGGTGATGAGTCTATGGAGCCTCATCTAGAAATGATTACAACTGCTAGATACTTTATAATTAATGGTATACTTGGTTGGTGTCCTTCTGCTGAATACATCTTTGACGCTTTGAGGGCCAAAATTTTTCCTGTTCAAAATTGAGTAATTGTTCACATTTTCTGTAATTTTCACTGAATTCAATCTTAATTTTGGACTCAACAGACAAAATGTGTCATTGCTTCTAGTTTTAGATAAAAAAAGTTTAAATGTTCATCAACATTTTCTGTGAAAACAAGCAGACTACAAATGGAACTATTTTGTGAATGGTGCCTGAAATTGACTTTGCCACTCAAAGGGTAAACATGAATTACAGGTCAAATGACCATATATATATATATAGATAAATTTACTCAAGTTTCTTGAGAAAACAATATTTTTAGAAACATTTATGGAACTTTCAGAAATCCCAAAAAATTTGAGATACTCCAATGATAAAGAGAAAATCTATTGTACCTGATTTTTCCAGTTAGTTTGTGTTTACCAATATGAAATTGATATTTTCCGTCACTGAATTGATTGGCCCAGGGTGGCTTGATCCATATAATGGTGGTGAAGTGACCAGCGTATGATGTCGGCATTATCCAACTTTCAATACTCAGGGAACTATGAATAAATATATATATATATATATATATATATAGATAGAGAGGTGAATGAATGAATAACGAATCAGTAAAACTGGATCTCAGTTTTAACACAGACACATAAAAACAAAAGTATTTTACAGCCCAGCCTGCGGTGGTGATAGAAATTCAGTACGTAATGAATCTGTCTTGTCAGGGAGCTGTAATGAGAGCTCCCTGGTCTTGTCAAACATAAACAAAAGTATTTTGTGGTGGTGCTGTATCAAATTCAATAATGAGAAACATTGTGTCACATCTTACTCAAATAACTGTTCTTTGTCAAAGACATCATCAGCCATCATATCCATTGGAATAACAAGATCAGGATGTGAATCGAAGTGTACCAGCGTAGTATCTTCTAGTGGTAAATGCTTAGATCCTATTGCACGATATATATGTGGTAGAACCTAACAAAACGATTGAGTGGAAAACGGACATTCAATCTTTTATAAAGAAACTATGTGAAATCTGTGCACTTTATACTTTGTAGTAATCAGTAGCAAAACATTCAACTGTTGCCTAAAATGCTTAAATCGGCATACTCGAGAAGTTTTGAACAATGTTTTACAAAGAAAATCTTACGAGAGGTGATATTTTCATAATTAAGTATTATTTCAAGCCACTGTCGGATTTGTAGGGACTGATTCAATCCATGAGCATTCATGGTATTCCTACAATACGTATGTGCTGTATTGTCTCGCCATTATCAGATGATTATACAATTATAGGTTATTATTTTCAAGGATAAACTTCTTGGTTGACTTCTAAAATTACAGGTACCTAGCTGAAGTTCTGTAGC